TAATTAAAATAATATTTTATTATATTTTCATAACAACAATTTGATTTTTAACTTATATTATTTTATAAGTTATTAATTACTTCGTAAATTTTAATGGCTTAACATTTTGTTAATAATTATATATTATTAAATAATATTTTTTTTATATTTTTATATTACCAATTTTATTTTTAACTTATATTATTTTATAAGTTATTAATTACTTCGTAATTTTAATGGCTTAACATTTTGTTAACTTTCTAATTTTCTCTAATGAACTTTGGGTGGAAAAATTCTCTACAAAAATAACACTAGAAATTTGCAAATAATAATTAATAATGTTATAACTTTTAACTTTTAGGAAATATGTTATGGATTTTATGAACTATAAAGAAATCATTGTCAGCATTTATATTATAAAAGTTTTATTAATTTTTTTGAAAGTTCACTTGTTTTTGTGTCAACCGAAACACATGCGGATGGAGAATAAACGAATAAAGTGCAAAAGACTTATGAAACGAGGAGCATGTTTGGATATAATTTTTTTTTTGTTTTGTTAGATTTTTTGGTTTGGTTTGGTTAATTTTGAAAAATGTGGTATGGTTAGTTGTTAGTGAGTGTATTAAAATAATACTTACAATAAAATAATAAATTTACTTGATGTAAAAGTAGGAGAGAGATGATTTGAAGTGATGGTTAGTTAAAATAATGTGAGTGGATGAATAGTGAATTATGGTTGATGTGGTGTGTATAAATGACTGATTGATATTATTTAATTATATTGATAATATTGATGATAGTGAGGTTGAGTTAAAGTTGAGTTAAAAAATCATTATTGAGTTAAAATGTTGGATTTTTTTTTTAAATTCTTGTATGCAAACATACATAGAACGCACAAATTGTACTAATACCAGCTTATCCACCCATACAACGCACAAATTGAGTACCATAATTAAAATGATATATTATTAAATAACATTTCATTATATTTTCATAATAACAATTTGATATTTAACTTATATTATTTTATAAGTTATTAATTACTTCTACACTTTAATTAATAAAATTATACATTGTTATTTTTTATTTTTACTTTGAGCAAATAATACGCCTATGATTTATAAGCGACCCATTTGTTCTTCATTTTAATGTCATTCTTCATTTTAATGCCATGTAATTAGTGTTTGAAAAGTTGTTTATCTCTTTTTTTATATTTGTATTTATTTTGAACATAATTTTTTCAAACTAATGCAGGAAAAATGCACTAATATGTGGTATTTCATGTAAAATAATTATTTAAGAAAATAACTCCACACACATTTTTTATTTACGTTTTCATTGTGTTACCCACTATGAGGGTCTAATCGTATGTCACCATGTTACATATTTGAGATTTATTTGGAGTAAAAATAATTTTTCTTATTCTATTTTCTTAGTTTTTTTATATATGTTTCTATATAAATATATTTAGAAAATATACATAAGTTATTATGTAAATTTATTAATTAATTATGTAAATTTACATAAATTATTATGTAAATTATTAATGCCTTGTGTTTGAATAATAATTATACAACTATGAATGTTTGTATGTAGATTGACCACATTAAGTACATAAAATATAACTCATAAACTTGAAACATTAGAAATACTAAAATAATTTAAAGGGCATAGATCTATACCACATATCTAATACATTACAAAATTATTTGCTTCTATATACGAAATTATTTTGTATAATGTCATATTTGTAATATAATCATCCATATAAGAAAAGTATTTGACCAAATTAATTAGTCATAACATTGATATTAATGGATTGTAAAATCACGAAAACATTAAATTGTGTGTCAAATTTAAAAAAAGGGGAAAAAAAAACTTTCTAATTTTCTCCAAAAATTTTGGGTGGAAAAATTCCTTACAAAAATTATAGCAATATAGAAATTAGCTAATCCTTTTATATAGATATAAATTATTGGTGTAACTTCTTTGATTGTATTAAAATTATGAATACCTTTTTTATTTTGTATTTTTTTCTACATTAATATATCCCTTCCATATAGAATAATTGGTGTACTATTAAGCAATTTACTTCACAAAATTTAATATGAAATAAACGAAATTAAGGGTAATGGTTGGTATACATATCAATTGATGCAAATCAAATGATGCACGAGAAGTAAATTCAAGAGAGACAAATAAACGAATTATCCACATTTTTTTCTTTCACATTTAATCAAACTTATTTCATCTATAATTTGTAAGAATGAGATGACATTTCTAATTTCAATTTTTAGGTATCAACATGGACAACTGTTAAATCATGTTTCTCAATGAAGACACAAATAAATATTCTCTATAAAGACAATCACACTTTACTATGGCTTTCTCGGTAATAACCTTCATTATTTAATTTATACATTAAATATAAGGATTTCATCCACATAATTAATTTTTTACTTATCTTTACGTTAATACGTCAAAATTCATTGTACTTTTACAGTATGCAAATATTTTGTATTGAGTTCAATACTTATTCTATACTCTTTAAATAAAAGTGAATATACTTAATTCAAATTGTTTATATTTAATGTTTAATATGATATAGATTCAGATAATTAATATGTAACATGTTAACGACAATAAGGTAAAAAATTTAAAATAAATTTAAAATATAATTGGTATAGATATAACCCATTGTTCTATTAGTATTACAATAACTTTTTCGGCAAAAAAAACTTTACCAGGTCCATATTATCATCATATTCATTAAAATTTAAAACTTCATGATTTTTTGACAATGTGTTAGTGCAATTTGCTTGAAACATTTGTTTAATTAGCATTAAATTGATTGTCTTCATACTTCCCAAATGAATATTTGTTGAGCTTATGCACGATTGGATATGAATCCAACCAGTTTCAACCAATTTTGTTTGGCTAAAATTAGTTAAAGTGAGTTAAAGTATAACGAGTGTATGATTTTGAGTTTGGAATTAAATAATATTTAAATTATAATGATTATAATTGATGTGAGGTAAAAGTAGGAGAAAGATTATCAAAAGTGATAGGTAGTTAAAATTATGTTAGTAGATTAATAGTAAATAAAAATTGATGTGATGTATGAGAATGATTGTTTATAATTATAAAAAGTAGGAGAGTTAAGTTGAGTTTTCTTTTGAGTTAGATGATTGGATATGAAATAACTCAACCGATTATAACCGATTAAGACCGGTTATAACTCATATATAATCACGCCCTTAGCAATTTGTTTCTCATAATAAATAAAGGGAGATTCTACAATTCCGTTACGGAACCATTCCGTCAGATTTGGTAATCGTTAGATCAAATATCCACGATGGTTACATGATGATCCAACGATTACAAATCCCGACGGAATGGTTCCGTAACGAGATTGTAGCATTTCCCATAAAATATATGTATATATTTTTGTCAAATAAACTTAAAGACATACAAATTCAATTAGAAAAATAATATGGCTCACGTGCGTAGCACGTGCACCTTACTAGTGTTACACTATGTTGCAACTTATAATTATGAGCGGTTACCTTAGTTTCTCGAAGAACCAAAACCTGGACTCCCATTGTCACATACTATACATACTCCACAACCATATAACAAACTTGATATTTGATTGCCCAATGGTTTCAGGGGTGGCATCCACCTATCCTCAAGTCTGATATTTTGTAAATAATTAGCATCAAAAAGTAGATTTAAGAAACTTAAAAAAAAAAAAAAGGAACAAAATAGCTCCACATTGTTTTTGTTCCTGGAACGTGCAAGGGTTAAGATATGGTCAGCCGAAGAAAGACAAAGCAATTAGATACAACTCACAAACAGTCCCCCATCTGTCTTTGCTTCCCTTTGTTGGGGCTTTCTCAACATATTTTCAGCTTTGGAAATTCATTTGCAGCTAAATCATGCACAAAACTGCAGTATTTATTTCTAAACCAAAATTACTCCCCACTTTCATTTCAACTCATATGGGAAAAGAATAAGCAAAAAAACTACATTTAACTTTTCAATTCTCTCTCCCTCTCTCTTTTCTCTTTCTTGTCTTTTTAAGAATACAATTACTAATTGCTCGACTGATCCTTATTACTGTCTTCCTGTATAGACACATAATCATTTGCTACTTCGTGAACCTGATCCTCATCAAACTCTGTCCTAGCTAATTCATCATCACTGCCTGATTTTAATATCCTAATTTTTGTTACCAAAAGAGTAACGTCTTTGGCCCCTGATGCCGCCTCTTCATTGTTTATTCGTTCAAACCGAACAGCACTAACCTTTCTTGCATTCCCAGCTAATATCTGTGCCAATCAAATGGGCAGACATTAATACATTGGAGATTTCTTAACTAGTCGTAAAGCAAGGTGGAATGATAAAACTTGATCATGAGGGAACAAACAGGGCATCCTTTTAGATTTTTGCATCTAAATTGTCTTTATATATGTCATTACAAGCAAACAATTTGTCTGTATCCAAAACCTCAAGCATATAACACTGTCTCACAAGTATTCAATTTTTAATGATTAGCTAGGTTTAAAAACAGAATGAAAAAGAAGGAATGAGAAAAAAAGGGGTTAGGATAATGTACATTGCCAACCTCAAGTTTAAATATATGAGTCTTCTCGTTTTCATCTAGACGGTTAGATTCTGCCCCATTATAATCACCATGATCTTCTTGACAAGCTCTTTCAAGGACCGCTTTTATGGTCTCACCTGTCCTCGGAATATATCCAAATGCCTCACAGACAAAACTTGACACTATCTCATACTGATGACCCTGAACGAGAGAGCTGCTTCAGATGCATGAAACGTAGTTTACAACTTAACTGTCAAGTTAAATAATTTATTCCACAAGTTCCAAAAAAACGAAGAAACAGAAAAGGAATCTTAAAAACACAGATATTACTCGTCCATTGTCGTAGGCGTGGGCATATAGAATTTTGTGACACAATTCCAAATTACTAAGAATGCGGAAGAATGCTAAATTTATAATAGAAGTAGACAAATGAATTGTAGATGCAAACATAATACCTCTGGCATTTTAATGTTTATATCTTCAGATAGCTGGTCGATAGATGTATTAGCATCCACGTCAAATATACCTTCAGCACGCATAACCACATACCCAGTTTTTTTTTTCAGAATTTCCTCCTGACACAGTGAAAATTATAACGTGAAACACTTGTAGTACCAGTTCAAATATGAATGAACTCCAGTATAACCAACCAGTGCATAAAACATTAGTATTATAAGCACATCATAACAACTAGATGGTTGAAGCACTAACTTGAAATCTTCCAATCAAGTAGTTACTCACTGTACGCATGCAATATCATAGTTTAAATCCAACAAAATTAAGTGAGATGCTCAAGTAGAAAGATTTTAAAACAGTTATCAGTAATCAAAGAGATCTTATATGTAATCCAAAAATAGGCCTGAATTAGCAGTAGCATTCATGTGTATAGTCATTCAGTACTCCACTCTAATGGTATCTACGTTTTCTAAACATGCATTCAGAGTGCCTAACAAGTAACAAGTAGCAAAGGTACAAAGTGCACATGGAACATATATTGATGGGCAGTAAAACATGGTATCTCGACTGTTGTGCCCATGTGTCACTAACTATTTCCAAAAGACTGTCCATTAAATGCAATAGTGAGGACATGACAACCTATGAAGACTGTGCAGTGTTTAAACTGTAGTACCGCTTAATAAAGAAATAATTAAACAATAGAATGAGACAGACAACCTTACCTTTGAATCATTTTCATCAAAAATTTCACCAACAATTTCTTCAACCACGTCTTCGAGGGTCACAATATGTTACAGCAACAAAAAATATATCTTATACCAAATATATATATATATATATATATATATATATATATGAATACATATATAAATACATATATGTATTCATATACATCAAATCTCATACCATTCCGTCAATATATGAATACATACATTAAAAAAAAAAAGATACATCAAACCAGCAAGCGAGGCGACGACGCGGTGTTAATTATACGATGCCCCCATTATGTAATCATCCTGGATCCGTCGTTGCTCAACACCGTTAATAGCTCGGTGACTCTATCGTCACCCATTCCAATACATGGAACTGAGACGCATTCTCTCTCCGTCTCTTTTGTTTGAAAACAAGACTCTTAAATATAAAAATAACAAAGCTTTAAGATGCTACTGCATAGTTGGTATTTATGTACTTTGCTGTTAATGTTTGACAAACCCAAGCCATTTTCAACCTGTTTTCCATCTCCAAGGAAAAAAGTTCTTGTGCTCAGACATCACGGGGAGCCTCGGATAATGTTGGGTGAGTGTTATTTCTCTTCTATTATCTTCCATCTTTTTTTATTTTCTTAAAGTTTGCTGCTTTTTGTAATTTTGTGACTCGGGGTTGTGTTGGTTTCGTTTGTTGGATCTGATTCAGTGTGAAAAGGTTCGTTCTTAATTTTCTTTTTGAAGTCTCAGCTTCGAAATGATGTGTGAAATTGTTCTGTTGATGGTGCGAATTAATGTAAAAGCAAACGAACGATGAATTTAGCTTTGCATGCGTTTTGGATAATGATTTTACGATCAAATGTACATTTATAGTTATGCTATGTTTGGAAAAACTAGCTGATAAGCTAGCTTATAACTTGTAAATGATTTTTGAGTTTATAGCTGAAAAGTTAGCTTATATGATAAAAGTGTTTAGTAAAATTAACTGATAAGCTAGCTGAAATAAAAATTTCAACGAGCTTATTTGAAAAAAGCTACCCAAAGAAATTTATGAGATAGGTTCGAGTTTTTTTTTTTTTTAAAAAAATCGTCCTACCAAACGAAGCTTAATTGATTAGGTATTGAAGTCCTTATGAACAAGACATTATCCCTAGCTGCAAACGCGATTATATCAGCACACGAGACAATGCCTTTGCACATGGATTCAAGCACGTTTTTCGCATTCTCTATAACTTCGAAACCTCTAAGGCTCGGGTTATTCGGTGGTGCGGATTTCTTGGCATTGTTAGATGGAGTTGAGTCTATGAGAACCGAAGCATCACATGCCTGAATTCGAAAAATCGAAACACCATGTTTTCTTTTTTTATCAAAGGTGGATGAACTAAACATAACCAATCATAGTAATTTGTGAAGAAATGTAGTTTAATTTTCTTACCCTCACAAAACAATCATGAAAATACAACCTTATAAGTCCAGCTGCAATCCCTTGGTCCTTCATAATTGCTTGTGCAACTGCATTTCTCACATCAACCTCCGCAAATGCACAAGAACTTCGATAGATGTTTGCCTTCAATTGAGCTTCTGATGGTTCAAAAGTGTGGATAGATAAAACAAATATTGAAACAAGAGTTTTAAGCAGCTTATAACTCATTTTTTTTTTCTTTAGGTTGTCTAATGATGTGTGTCCACTCAAAAGAAGCTATATATATAAAATTGGTCCACTTAAAATGGCTTTTATTTTGCAATCATATTAATGTCCAATGATAATGCAATATCATCATCATCCGGTAAATCCGACATTCTTCCCCTTGTAATCAGCATTTTTAGCAAATCTTTGGACTTGAGGATGTCCAATAAGTCGCAATAAGGCGGAAAGTAAACTGAGACATTCATCAGTATTATGGCCTGCCGACTTATGATATGAACAATATTTTGTTTTGTCAAGTCGGTCTTCAGGAGTTCTTACAGGTCGAGGGTCAGGAAGAATCCCTTTCCCTTTTAATTCTTCAAATATGGTTGCTGCTCCTGCCGAGAACACCGTCTGGTAGCTAGATTTGATCTCATCAAGATATTTATTTCTTGCATCTTGCACCTCTGGAATTTTGGGGTTCCCGAATCGAGATTTATTTTGTTTGAAGAATTTGTTTTTCTTCTTTCTGGACTCCCGACCGACGTCCAACTTTAGTGAGGAGAAATCAATATTTGGAACCGACATTGATTCTTCGGCTAAAATATGCTGTTGAGCCCGAGCTAGAAAGTCTTGAAGTGAGGTTGGTTTATTTTGACATATACTCCATCGGAACAACGAGTTTGGCTTTAATCCAGCTATGGCTGTAACCAATAGCGTTTCAGGATGGCATTGTTCCATATTTTGTATGCGTTCGTTGAACCGAGCAATATAATCTTTTACACTTTCATCGTCTTTTTGTACGATATTTGCGATTGATTCTTTGGGAATTAAAGAAACTCGGGCCCCAATAAAATGAGACCGAAAAGCCGTTCTCAATTGATGCCATGTGGTAATTGAATACCGAGATAGAGAATGATACCATTTTTGGGCTCGAGATCCCAAAGTTAAGGAGAACATCCGACATCTTAGTGCTTCATTTGCCCCATGAAGATCCATCCAAGACGTATATTGACCGAGGTGAGCGTCGGGATCAGAAGTTCCATCATACAAGCCGATTTGTGGAACTTTTACTTTAGTTGGAATAGGCTCTCTAGTCAAATGAGGGGCTAAAGGAGTTCCAACTTCTTGATACATATCATCTGTCGTCGGAATTCGTCGCGGTGATTCTCCATGTTCGTCTTGGCGAGTTTCTAACTCAGCAATTCTTTTTCTCAACATTTCTAACTCTTCTGATTCACGTCTTTGGCGATTTCTTTCAATTAAGCGACGTAACTCATTTTGCCCGCGACGAGCATGGTTTTGTTCGAGAGTATGTCGTAAATCAGAGGGTTGATCATGTCGTAAGATTTCTGGTAACGACGGAGTAGGCTGTCGCGGTCGATGCCCAGAATGGCTTTCTGCAGTTGCTTCTGATCGTACTGCTTCTGGAATTCGAGTTTGTACAGGAACTACTCCACGATTTTGAGTTGCAACATCATGCTGTGATTCATGTGTACGTGGATGAGAAGTTGCATGTGATACAGTAGGAATTTCATTCTGTTGCGGGGTTGATATAGGATGAGTTCGTGGATTAATTGCTGCAGTTGGTTCTACTCTTGTCCGTGCCATAAAATCAGTTAAATTCTTCAAGAACTCTGGATCTTGAAATAAAACTGAATAATCGATTGATGTGGATGGCACAGCAGAGGTTCCAATTGTGTGAGTTGGATGACGATTGATTCCAGCGTCTGGGTTTCGTTCGTTTCGCCCAGAATTCGACATCCTTTTAATATGTTGTATACAAAACAAACAATCAAAAGAGAAACAGAGGTTGAGGGCGGCCACCCTTCCTCTAGCGCCAAACTGTTGTTGTCTTGAATTAACAACTCTACATTAAACACAGTTGATGTCAAGAACGCAAAGACAATCGTTTAATTTGATTTTATTTATTATGTCCACAAGAGTACAGGAGTCGGTTATACATGGAAAACCGAGATCATTATAAGTCCGTGTACAATGTGTTGTGAAAAGATCCTCGTACTATCATAAATTCTGCTATTTATAGTACGGTAGTTTTTGTCTTCTTGCTCGAAATGGATAAAGACGCATTTAATGTTGAGCTGCTTTACTTGAAGCGGTGGGAAACATCAATGATTGCCTTTTTGTTTTGTTGGTCCAATCAAATGCTTCTAATGATTACTTTATGGTAGTCGGTTGAACTGAAGTTGGTTTTCTTGTATTAGCTTCAGATGTCGGTTCTTTTGAAGACCTTTGGAAGTCGGTAACTATGCAGAAGTCGGTAATTAGTGTTAATAAATACCGACTTGCAGTAAGTTATCTTCTTGAGAGATCATTTCTTCAATAATGTGCTTAATCTCCATCTTTAATGTTGCAATCAAGTCGGATATCAACAAAAGTGTTATAGTAATTGTGATGTATAAATTAATAATATATAAAGCTGTAAATTTCATAATGTCAAACCTGATAGAATAATATAATACATAAAATAATAATTTATAAAGTGTAATAGTGATTTGATGCATATAATAATAATTTATAAAGTTGTGAAGTTTCATAATTTCAAAAGTGGTACAATAATATAATACATAAAATAATAATCTATAAAGTGTACATAGGGTGATCGATTTACCAAATGTGTCATAGGGTGGATAAATTCTATCCTACCCCATAGGGTGATCGATTTGGGTCTATAAATAGGGTGAGAAAATACAGAAAACTCCGCAACAACAACTTATCATTTTTATATCATTTGTATTTTCTGTAAGTTGGAGAGTGATGGACAAAATTGGAGTAGCATTATGGTTGATCTTCATTGTGAACCCTTTTAAAGGTGTCCATAGTAATACTGAAGGTATGTAATCCTTTTATGCTATAATGTATTAGATTGTTCCCGGTAAACACAAAAGTTGGCATGTAACATATGTATATATTTAGTTATATAATAATTAATTTGTATTCAAAAAAATTTGTTTTTATAAAATAATAATAATAAGCAATTACATCAACTTCAAAAAAAGTTTTACGCCGCTCTGCCCCTCTTTCTCTGTAGAAAAACCTAACCCGCCGCTCCTCTTCCAACCACCGTCGATTCGCCTTCCTCGGCGTCGGCGGAGCTTGCCAGTGGTCGTCATCGACCTCTCGTCCGTCCAGGTACTCGTGCGCCGCCCCGATGTTGCTGCGGTTTTGCTGATTGTTCAGCCTTTGGTCGCCGGCGTGTCTGAAGTTCGAAGCGCCTTCTCCCTCGCCGGAGTCCGGTCAGCGATGGGTAGTCCCCTCCCGGTAGTCGGCCCCTCGATTGGCGAAGGTAAGCCCTCTCCTTCCTTTGGATTTTGTCGGCGATTGAGGTCCCTTTGGATCGTCCCTGCTTTCCCCGGAGGGGCTTCTGTATGGGTATTGGTTGTTGATCGGCGGATCTTAGTGGTGCCTGGTGGTGTGCGGTTCTGTGGATGGAAGTGGCTCCAGATGCTGCGACGGCTTCCGTGGTGGCGGACGGGGTTGAGGGCCGTTTCCTTCTCGCATTCTCCGTTTTGTCTAGTGGTGTTAGACAGCGGGGGAGGTTCTTCGGCTCGTCTAGTGGTGTTAGATGAGTTCGGTGGAACCGGTGTGGGTTCGTGGATGGCTTTCTAGGTCTTTGATGGGTCGATTTGTGGACTAGTTCGGGGTTAGGAGTCTTCTACTGTATAGGCTTGATTGCAGTTTCGGTAGCTGGTTCTTGTCTTGGATTTGTCTT